GCCTAGGCCTGATTGAGGACTAGGTCAGGCCGGCTGAGGATAATCTCTCTAACTCAATGCCAATTTATTTGGGGCCTTAATTACATCTGCGAAGTCCCTTCAAAGCAGCATCTAGATTCGCGTTTGACTGAATGCCTGGGCGAAGGTGTCTACACGAGGGGCTGCGAGGCTTGGAGGCCATTTAGGAATTTGGCCTGTGACAAATTTCCTAAGAAACATTCTCCAGGCAAGCTAAGTGATTCTCCAGGGTGGTAGTACCAACCCCTAGTGGATGTGCTGTAAACTCGAGGGCAAATACTGTGTTGTAATGATGGGGAAGGGGGGGCAGTTTGAGTGGTATTTGGGGTTCAGGGCTGGGTTGCGAAAGGACAGCCTCACACAATGAGGAATTGTGCTGCATTTCACACAGCTTTGGAATGTCCTGTAGGCAATGCATGTCGATGAAAAAAATCTGTGTTGTTTTCTGAGCTTCTCTGTATTTTTGCAGTTTTAAACTCATAGAGATAGAAGGGACTTTAGTGAGCTTTGAGCCTATTTCTTTAAAAAAAAAAAAAAATGAGGAAGCTGAGACCAAAAAAGGAAAAAACTAAATGTCACTCATCTTACTAATGTCAATGTTGGGACTAGACCCAGTTTTCTTCATGGAAATGTCAAATCTGTCCATGTGAAACTACTGGAAAATAAAGATAACTTGAGTGTCAAGGAAAATGTTTTCCTAAAGAGTTGATATAGCAATTTAATGTTATGCAATTAACTCCACTGTTTTTCTAAGGTTATGATGGCTCTGAAAACAAGGTTTTACTAGATGTTGATTACATCAAAGCCATTTTATTTTAAGGATATCATTATCTCACTCAACATCAGCAGAGGAAACATTCACTTAACAAACTTGTGATTTAAAATTATTACTGCTTATTTCTATTTTTACGATAAACTAGGACCTAGGCAAAATTATGAATAGCCCAAAAAGCAACTTACAAGGCTGACTTTGGCCAGTCTGTAACAGGACTGGACTGGGTAGTCCAGCCCAAAACAGCAGGCCAGAAGGCAGGCCGAGTCCCACCCCCACGAATGCCCGCCTTGCCCTGAAAGGCCTGTTCTTCCTTCCTGGCTCAACTCGGTTCGAAGCTACTTAGCTACAAAATTGCCATAAGCTTTCCTGTGCTGCCACCTACTGCATATAATGAGTATAGTTTCGAATAAAGCTTTTGTCTTCTATTAGTCAGTGTGTTTTAATGTGACCAGGGAAAGAAAACCATCAACTGACTTCAACTGTTGTGTTGTACTAGGAGGGAACATTATCCACACTATTTCTTCTGCTGAGACTTCTAGACTTCTTTCTCCTTTGTTCATAAATATTCAAACGCACACACAACTCTTTATTAACAGTTTATATTAATATAATTATTCAAGGCATGCTCACTATATACTAAGCTCTCTGTGCCTTATCTTAGCCCGATCTTCATAATCCCGTAGGAGAGGTCTTATTATTCCCATTCTACAGAACTGCACAAGGCAGCCTGACTACAAAGGAAATTCATGGTGACCCATTCTTAATTATGTCAGATCACACCTTGCTCTTCAGTGCACGTCAAGCCAAGAAATCAAACAGGCGAATGACTTAATGCTGTTATAAAGTGAATTAATAAGATCGTATCATTCAAGGGACCAAGTAACTAACTGCCAAATTAGCACATCAAGACATTATTTAACATGGCAGGGTGTGCAGGAGGAGGAACATGTTCCAAACAAGTTGAGGTTTAGAACAGAAAGACGATTGTTTAGAGTTCTAAAGTAGCTTCGTAATGGAGGCTGTCGAAAGCAGAACGAAGGCAAAGACAGGAAACTAATAATTTGCACTGGCTTCAGTTATAAAGAAACTTGAAAGTAAGCTAGAGTTCACCAGCAGACGTTTACTACAGAATGCTCAGTCCTAGAGAAAATACTTTTTTAATTATAAAAGTAATAAAATATAGTATTTTTAGAAAGCTTAGAAAATGAGAATATCCAGTTAAAATCACCCATAATCTTTAATATCCAGAGACAGGAGTGGACCCATGATTTTGAGAAATTGCAAATGTCACAAGGACACATAAGCCAGGATTTTGGAAGGGCCTATTAAAGTGTGGGGCCCTAAAGCTTCAGCTTCACCCTAAGTCCACCTCCTCGCAGCAACAATCATCATCAGGGGCCCTTAGGGCCAGTCTGCTTGGGTGTGAACGTCAGCAACGTCCTTTATAGCCAGGTGACCTTGGGCAAGTTGCTTATATGATTAAGTTTAACTTACGATATGGTAAACACTTAGTTAGCTATTATAGTCCTGTCTTTTCTAAATGTATGTATACACAAAGTATGTACATATTTTACAAAACTATCTCACTAGTTTCATGTATGAATATTTTTCCAAAGGGGTCTTTAAGACAGACCACATATTATACTGAATAGATGTAAGCCCTAGACTCAACTGGATATTCGGGGTATTAGTTAAAAAGATCCTTAGTGTCAGGTGGCTTTGCCCATTGAAAGCACTACAAAGTCACCTTCATCACCAAAGACTAACAACACTTTGAAGAGTAAGTTAACTGGAGGTAGATTTTTTATAAGATCTAAATCTAAGATGTCAGTTACGAGGGCTTGTGGGTACAGAAGGGCCTCTGAGGTGCACAGCTCCAGGGACACCACCTTCATGTGGGGTTCCGAGTCACTGGTACCCCCGGGGTGGTTCATGGCCCAGGCCTCAGGGAGAACAGCGGCAAGACAGAGGTACTAGATGGAATCTTCTAAAGTATGGGCCCTTCCCAGACATCCTCATTCTGTATTGTGTCTATTTTAACACAAAACAAGGAAGAAGGAAAGGTACTTCCTTTGTCCCAAGGGGAGTTCAGAGACAGGTTTGATAAGCCAGAAAGCCTATCATAGTGGCTGCCAGCCTAGGCTAGCGACCATTAGGAAGTCAGCCCACGGTCCAAGCCCTATCCTAGGGAACAACATTGAGACCTGGGTGTGTCACGTGGCCTCTGTGCCTATTTCTTCAGTAGAACCAAAATTCCTCTCTACCTCCAGGGGCGCTATTACCCACACACATCAGCCACCATATACTCTCCCATGGTGTGTGGCATGCTAACATTTGAAAGCATTTTAATTAAATATGCTTCTCACACATGAAGTATAGCCTTACGAACACCACCACTAAACATACGTGTTTCTGAGGCCAAAAGCAATCTTTACCAGCTCCTGTTAGCAGAAACAAGCCTTTTGTTTCCTTTCTGCAGTCTCCAAAATGACCATAGACGTTACACACCCAGTGAGATTTAAAAATGCACGCCTCTGGTTTTAAGTGAGTAATTAGAATCACCTGAATCACCATACCTTTAGTTTTCCAAGTTACGAGAATGTTAATAGTAGGGGAGGATGGAGGCCAAGGGGCAAAGTGGGACAAATAGGGACATCTGAAATAGCACAAACAATAGGAAAAAGGTGGGAGAAAACCCAACTTCCAAGAGTTAAAAAACAATGTTAATACTAGTGATAACTTTACTCCTAGGAACCAATATACTCTTCCCTGAGAAGCTGGAATCGCAGGTATCACCATAGAGTAATTGGTGCTAGAAACTTGGAGGCAGCTGAGACCCCAGTTACCCGGATCCCTGGTAACAAACGGGATGATGCTCTTCTGTGAGGATCACAGGAAGAGGGAGATGCATGGCGTTTCTTCCCACAGTCCTTCATTCGTTACCTAGAAAGGCAGTTTCTGTATATTCAAGTGATTGTTGAGGACAGATGTCATTTAATCTTTAACGCAAGCCGACAAATTACATATCAGTGTGTCCTTATCTTTAAAATATTAAGGCTTAACAAGAAATGGCAAAGACATTTGTTTTAAAAAAAAACTAATTTCTAGAAAGCAAGGAATTGCTGAAAAACAAAACAAAAAACCTACGTTGATTGGGGTATGTCACATGGACACAGGAAGCAACTAAAATAATTCTCAGTGGTCAAAGCTGGAGCAATTTCAGCAACAAAATGTAGTATTGGATTATAACCCAGTATAAAAGAAATATCCATGAATTCATACGAATATAAATGACTGAATAAATAGCAGAGAAGAGACAAATCTGGCTTGTGAAACAACTGCAAGTAATTTGGAGGCACTCCCCCCACAAGGAGCTAGAGCGTAATCCAACCCCCTCCAGTGCGGGCTGCGCAGACACCCTCCTCCCAGCAGCATGACTGGGAAGGGGGTGGGAATGGGAGAAGTAACTACAGTAGGAAAAGGTGACAACTGTCACCTCAGGCAGCTGATCAAGGTCAATATCCACAGCAATAAATCATGTTGATGGTATGTGCCCTTTAAAAAAATGTTTCATATACATTTGTCTCCATTTACCACCCCCACCGCCCCCCAAGTATGTACCCTTTATATGTGGCACTTTAGCTCTGTGGTCTTTCTCCCTCAAAACTCCTAACCCTACCCTCATTATGAGAAAAACATCAGGCAAATCCTAATAGAGGGGCAGCCTACAAAATACCTGACCCGCTCTCCCCAAAACTGTCAAGGTCATCAAAAAGAGGCCAAGTCTGAGAAATTATCACAGCCAAGGGGAGCCCAGTGAGATATTAATAAAATGTGGTATCATGGGGGTGGGGGGGGAGAAGGCTATTTTGTAAAAACTAAGGAAATCTGAATAAGCTATGGGCTTTAGTAATTAGGAATATTATCAATATGTTTATCAATTAGAACAAATGCACCACATTAACATAACAAAGGGAGAAATGGATAAAGGGTATATAAGAACTGTATCTTCTCAATATTTCTGTAAAATTGTTCTAAAAATATTTTTAAAGTATTTCAGAGTTAACAAGTAAACAGTAATATAAAAGTATAGAAAAAATGTCTAGCAATACTTCTATTACTGTCAAAATAACTTCAGATGTATTAAAGTAAAAGAAGGTAAAAGAGAAAATAAAAACAAGTTTAGGCTTCTCTCTTATCAGCAGAAAAGTTTTATTCCTCATAAGGACAAACAGTTTATACCACATCCAAGGCCTTACCTTACAGACACAAACCAAAGTAGCCATTTAAAGCATTAGATATTGAGGTACGAGACACACAGTGGGGAAAATGCTTCACCGTCTGAAGCCTGCACCAAACTGCCCCGTCGACAGCTGAGCTCTGCTAGCGCTTGGGTGTGGCTGAGGGGGGGTAGAGCTACAGAACCAAAGGAGAACAGCTGTTTTCTACAAGCACTGAAGCATGTTAAGACTGCAGTGGTAGGGATGTATTTCGGTGGTGAAGGGAAGAAGGGGAAGAGCTTAGTCCCTTCCCGCAGGGCATTAGGCAGCCTTGCAGAGGGCCACCGCCGAGAAGCGGACTTCCCCCTGCTCCCGCTCAGTGAACTCCCTGCAGACCTTCGCCGCGTCCTGAAAAGGAGGAATGTCAGTTAATATCCAAGCAGCAACAGCTCAAAAGGAAAGTTCCAAAGGGAAAGTACCTGTGAAGCCTATGAATGCTCAAAGTTCACCCTCGTCAATTTTAAACTTCCCCTTAAACTTGAAAACCAGGGTTCAAGGCAGGAAGAAACAAAAGTCAAGTGATGGGAGAAACAAACTTGCATCACAGATCTGACTTCAGAAGCTTTGACTCCTTTTTAACTGCCATCAAATGCCCTGTGTTTCTCCCACCTTGTGCCTGGTTTTGACTATAAGACTACATTATCTGTCCTCTTTTCCTCAGGTCAAAACAAGACAGAAAATTGATCTTTATCCCAAAGGGAAAAAGTTATTCTAACTCAAAAATTCCCAGGGTAGAGGCAAATCTCTTCAAAGTATACACTTTACAAAAGAGCCTTAAAAGTTTAAATACCTAGTACTCCAGGTACAGACAAAAGGTGCATTACCAATTCTAAGACCTAGACTACAAAGATTGGTAACAGAAAATTGATCCCAATATAGGCACACCCAGCTTTGTTGCATTTTGTTTTACTGGGCTCCACAAATGTGGCTTTTCTTTAAAAACAAAACAAAACAAAACAAAACAAAAAACAGACTGAAAACAAGACCGTCCACCAGCAAAAAGATTACAACTTGCTTCATTGTGATACTTGTTTTGTCCCAGAGGTCCCCGAAATCAAACCCAGAGGTCCCCGAAATCAAACCCAGAGGTCTGGAACCAAACCCACAACATCTCAGATGTCTGTGTTCGTTATTTACCAAATTCCAGGTTTTAAAAATGACTGGGGATCATAAATATCAATCATTCTGTTCAGTCTGTAAGGAGTCCAGCTGAAAGACAGCTCCACAAACCACATTAATATAAGACCTTTAAGAGGACAGGTAACATTCTATGACACAGGACATCCGCTCCCAAAGTCCAGGAGTCTTCGACTTGATGACAAAAGAGCAATCGATCATGGCAGTGTTTTATTCCTGCTTTGAAACCACTCATGAAAACCACAGGGAGTCCAGATTGACATCTACATTCTGTCACAAGGTTTAAAATACTGGTACCCAGACCTTGAGGCCCTTCCGACAGCGCTGAGTAATACGGAGCGTGGGCCTCTCCAGACAGGAGCGCCACCTCCTATACCGACAATGAGCTGTGGACCTATGTCACTCCAGTTTTGGATACCTGGGTTAAATGTATGTATTTTCTCTCTGGCTTAAGTAAATTCTGTGTTTAGTTTCGGAAATCTAAAACATCTTTAACCATATAGAACCAGCCTCACTCAAGAACTTTCACTAGTTAAGATACTGGTTTGGTTTACATTCACTTGATTTTACATGAGATTCTAAATCAGAGTCAGTGTTATTTTCTGGAACAAAAAGTTTTACCTTCCCCACACCTCGTAAATTCTACTCACCTAACAGCTGTAGATGTCCTATGTGGGGTGCATTTTACGGTACTAGTATAGTCTTAGAGATGTTAGAATGGCCGTTAGTGCTTTATTTGGAGTCTTCCCCCCAAGTAAGTCATGACCAGAAATCCTGCCTCTGCTCTTATTTTCCCATAACTAAACGCTGGCTCTGTCATCAAACACCCCTCATCCTGCTTCTCTAGGTCTAGTTCTCATTCTTTATTACTATTCTCATTGCCCCTGTTTATCCAAGAATTAGCTCCAACTGACCCCAGCTGTGCACTCCAGCAAACTGGACAAAGCGACCCTCCCTCCCAGAGTGGCATGCTTTGGCCCACTGGCACCTCAAGGTCGCGAGGTCTATGACGTTCCACAGACAGGTCTATCACTGAAACAGGCAGTCTTGTGCTGCGACCTAGCACAGACTCTAGAGACAGACTGTCTAGATTGGAGCCATGGCTGCGCCACTTAAGTCACTGACCTTGGGCATCACTGCTCCTCCTCTGTAAAATGTGAACGAGAATACCTGCCTCACAGTGTCCTTAGAAGGGTTCTATAAAAGGTGTATGTCACAACTAGAACAGGAACAGAACCACAGAAATGGAGATCAGAGGGGAGGGGGTGGGGGAGAATGGAGGGGAAGGTACAGGCAGTAAGCAGCATAAACAGGAGGTACAAAAGAAGCAGGGGGAGGTTAAGAATAGCATAGGAAATGGAGAAGCCGCAGAACTTATATGTACGACCCATGGACAGAAACTAAGGTGGGGGGAATGCCGGGGGGCGGGGGGGTGCAGGGCAGAGGGGAATAAAGGGGAGGAAAAAATGGGACAAGTGTAATTAACAACCAATTATATATATACAATTTTTTATAGATATAAAATTATATATATGATTTTTTTTTTAAAGGCCTAAGCCACTTAGAAGAGCACCTAGTAGAGGGGTCAACAAATTGCAGCCTGTGGGCCGAACCCAGCCCGCTGCGTGTTTCTGTAACTAAAGTTTCAGTGAACAGCCACACAGTCGTGTACCCACTGTCTACAGGCTACTCTGGAGCTGAAACAGCAGAACTGAATACTTGCAATGGGGCCTTATGCCACCCAAGCTAAAGCATCTTCTGTCTGAAAAAGGTAGTCAACCCCCCAGTCTCCACACAGCAAGCGCTAAAAAAAGATTAGCTGTTAGTACTACAAATGCAGTAGCTCTATGTTAACAGCATTTTTTATTTCATCATAATTAAGCAGTTTTCCTTAATAATTGAAAACTGATTTAACTGTAGAGACTCATTTTCAGGGTGAAGAGGCCTAGAACAATCTGCCAGCTCTGGTCCAGGATTAAGAGATTTTTGTAGTCACTTGTACTGGGATAGTGACACTGTGATCCCAGATCTTAAAGTTCTTGTCAGGCATGTTTTGAATATGCTTCTCTTGTCCTACAGTAGGGGACCATGTGGGGAAAAACGCTCCTGAGGTTAAATGCCTAACCAGAACCCGTAATACACTGCCTACAAAACTGACCCAAAGCCAACAGTCTGGGAGGGATGAGGAAAGGCTCAGGTTTCGGTTCCACGAGCTACAATGTAATCTGACAAGAGGACAATGGTCACCTTAATCCCACAAAGAAGCAAAGCAATGGCTTTCAGGCTATTTCTCACTGTGGGCTGAAGACAGCACACAATACAGGTTAGTCAGGGCTGCTCTGAAGGATCCTGTTTAAAACCACTTGCTACAAGGTCTAAGGTAGACAGAATCACTAAAATGATCTTTAAACCCCAAAGAATGCTAGTAACCTGGATGATTGCTACTAACCCAGATGATTGCTACTAATCCAGATGATTGGAACTGGCTGTACTGAAAGAAGTGCTAGGACTTTGCAACAGAGGGCTAGGCTAAAAACACACGGGCACTCCTGGGGCGAGGTTCTCAAGGTTACCTGCAGCAGCAAGTCCTCTGCGCTGGTGCCATGGTTCACGGGAAAAGGCATTCGTCCATCTGCAACAAAGAAGCCAGGTGTGTCAATTTTCTCTGCACGTTTTCTGGCTACTGTGTTTATCCAGCCTGAAGGGACATGTAGGATTCTTCCACACACTGCCTCTCCCACAGAGGAAGCCTAGTCACAAAGCAACAGGCTGGAAAGAAGGGTCAAGTACTCCCGCCCCATCCCAGGCAATCCTCATCTACCAGTAACGAGATCCCACAGCCCAGACCAGCGACCCTAACGGAAGGACTTGTGTCCCATCTCCGGGAAGAGCCACAGGACAAAAGGCAGATTCCGTCCCTGAGGTGCAGGAAGGTGGGGCCCCCAAGGTTGCTTTTGCCCCTCAACAGCTGCCCATTAGCTCATCTGCCTGCGGGAAGTACCTTGACTTGAGGCAACACAGCTTTCTCCATTAATGCAAAGATGGCGGCTCACAAGGTAGATAATCTTTCTTGTTGCCCTATACCAGTTAACAGAAACCATCCCGATGTGTGCACATCCTTTCTAACCAAACAAGGTCCTATTTAGGCATTTAACTTCTTCCCAAAGTATTCCCTGTCTGAAGAGGCTGATGCCAGAGATCCTATACCAACAGTGCTGTAATGGCAAGTGAGGAGAAAAACCGAGCACGCACACAGGGCAGTGCTGGTCTGCTCCCTGGTCCGTGACTAAAGCCATTCATTTGGCCGGCCAGGGTGCCCAAGGGGGATGTTCTGGGCTGTATGAAGGGTGAAGCCCCCCCTCAGCCGTGAGAACACCCCGCTGTTCTAGATTCATAAACAATGATAGGCGAAAGTACTATCAAGTTACATGCCATTACTATAAAAAGGAATTAGGTATGAAAAAGATGAAAACTGTATTCGATTCCAAAAATGGAATGCAACATACCAAGTTCATAGAGGTGGCCATCCACGTTGTTAAACAGAATAAAATGGAAGTTCACTTTGTCATCTACCTGGAGAGAGCCAAGACATTTTTTTGAAATGAGTATTTTATAAAGCAGAACTTAATTTGCTAAAAATAAATGTAATATATAACAAGTATAATATGCTTGAACCAACTTGCTTGTACATTTTAAAAATTATGATAGATAATATGTACGTATTTCCTATATACTAGGCTCTCATCTAAGCCCATTGAGGCAGATAGACTATAGCTGTCAGAACTCCATGACTTGCTTTTTACTGAGCAGGGAATTAAAGTGTAGGGAGGCTAGGGATCTCATCCAAGATCAAGACTAGAAAGTGGCAGAGCAAATTATTATTATAAAGGCAGTGTAACAGACTTAAATCTAATTTAACAGTTGACGAGAAGGCTTTGTTCAGATTAATGGTACATATACGCCTTCTAGAAATTGCCAGTCCTTGTTTATACATCTCACTGTACCCAACAGTCTGTGAGAATATCTGAAATGCTCAATTACTAGGTGGGGTGTTACTCTATTAGACTCATTTAGATCTAAACAAAATACTATCAGTTTGAACTTACTCAAGACTACGTCAACTGCCAATTAGATTTCTGAGAGCCATTTTATAAATAGGCCTGGGCAAAGCACTATTCCAGTAGAATTTTTTGGAGTTAATAGGCCTTGGATAGAAAACAACATTTGCCATGTTCCAGTAAGAGGCCACTTCCCGTGTGTTAGGGAAAAGGCAGGCGGCACTTGGCATCCTGGGCCTGACTTGTGTTCGCCCTTACCCGGCACTGGCCTTCCTGAGCCACGGCATCGTGGGCTGCCTGAATGGCCTGAGAAAGAGAGAGTCATTAGCACAAACACTTCCAGAGTCATTGAGAAAGTAATGCTCTCTAAGTTCTCTTCCCACCTCATTCTTTTCAAAGCATTTTGCTCTGTCTTCAGGGGACAACTTCTCTGTTTCAGAAAGAAACTGTTTCAGGACTGACCCATCCTCTTTAAAAAAAAAAAAAAAAAAAAAAAAAAAAGCACGTTAGTATCGATAAAATCATGGAAATGAATGCACATTTATTGCTGATTTAAGCCGCTGCACAGCCGGTCACATCTAGCAACCTGAGTTTTTATGATGGCCTCCAGGGATGCGGATGGGCTGTACCTTCTGCTCCAGCCTCTTCCCCGCTCTCAGTCCCTCGGTACTGCACGCGGGCCAGGGACCTCCCGTGGCTCCTCCCATGTGCCACGCCTTCCTGCCTCCGCCGCCAGCCACTCCCCAACTGCCTGCACCTCCCACCTCAATTCATCTCTCCAATCTCTCAGCATCACTTGGTTACCGCCCTTATCCATTTGTGATGTGTGCTGGTGAGATTTTTAGTGCCATAAAGACAGAAACTATCTTGTCTGTTGCTTTTTCTACAGAACCTGGCCATGCACCATTAATGTGCGTTGCACTCGTAACGTTAACAATAGCGTTCTAGTCTAATGACAGTTCTCAGCCAAGATTTTTATTTTAGGATTGAAAGATGCATGCTTAGTAAAACAGTCATCTGGATAGGTATTAACCTAAGAATCTTAAATAGAAACGTCAAGAGCCAAACAGTCTGGCCTGGAGACAGATGACTGGCCGATGGGTGGTGTAAGTGTTCAGTCGTTGCTCAGTGTGGGTAAGTTTAGGAGACACTATCTACCCAGGTAGAGCAAGACCATATTTCAAAAGACTTCATCTTGAACCTTCAGCTCTAAACTTAAAAAAAGTAAATTTGTTAAATTGGGAGTATTCAAAATTTGAAACTGACAGGAATCCTCTTAGCCCGTTGAGGAGGGCTGTGATGCCGAGTAAGCCCCGGGCACCTCCGTGACCGCGGTTACCAAAAAATCAGTGTATCTGCCGACCTCAAGAGTACAGTAGTCTAGATAAAGTGAGACTGACTGCAGAGGAAACAGAAAGGATTAAGCTACAACTTTCTAATACGGCTCAATCAAGTCCATTTTGGAAGAAAAAAAAAAATCCTGGAATATCTGGATGTTTATGGCCAGGCAGCTGGTTTATTGTTTAATTTTGAAAGTATACCAGTAGTAGAGTCTTGGCCACACTTCCCTTGTAAAAAGAAGTTCTTATTTTTCTGTGTATAACATGCACTTTTTGCCCAAATTTTTGAGGGAAAAAGAAGGATGCACATTATACATGGGTAATATCTGAAATACCTTGTGTCTGTTCTTGTGTTTTGTAACTATTTGTTACAAATGATAAAACTATAATACAAAAAAAGCAAGTATCTAAATGTATATAAATAAAAAATTGAAATAAAAAAATTAAAAGATTTTTCCCCCAAAAGTTTGGGCCAAAAACATGGGTGCGCATTATACATGGCAAAACACAGTGCTTGGTCTGCTACAAGTAACAGTGTGGACGGTTAGCTGAAATGGTTCAGTTCTTAGCCACCCCATCTACTGTCTGAATCAGATTACTGCCGCCTATTTTTGTAAAACAAGTTCTCCTGGAACACAGCCACATCCATTGGTTTACATCGTGTTTATGGATGCTTTTGCAACTAAAGGGTAGAGACCATATGGCCCACAAGCCTGAAATATTTACTCCCTGGTCTTTAAGAGTCTGATGACCCTTGGCCTAAATCATATAATGGTGATATATTTTAGCATATTTTAGTGCTGTTAATTAAGCCTCTGACAAGCTTTAGGGCTGACTTGCTCATTTCTTCTACATCCTCCACAGCATCCACTGAAGATGGGTTATGGGCTCTGACCTGACTTTGTTCAAAGCTGAATCCTTTCAAGATTCCAACCTGCTGCTATGCCTCTCGCCTTCTGCAGGAACTGCCACACTCTGTGCCCAACTGCTCTAAGCTGTCCCCTGATGATTATGAGACACAGAACCACTAAACACAGGTTCTAACTGTTGATGTTTTACAGCTTAGTATCATCTCTCATTCTTCAGAATCACTGAGAATTGAACACATGAGAATCATGACCATAATCAGCACTCAAGTGTTCTTTATCCTCCACCTGAGACCCATCTAAGCTGTCTACAAATGAAAAGCATATACAGAGCTGCAGTACAAAACAGTACCACTCCCGCCCTCGCTGGTGTGGCACCGGCCTGCAAACCAAAAGGTAGCTGGTTCGATTCCCAGTCAGGGCACATGCTGAGCTGCAGGCCACGTCCCCTGCTGGGGGTGTGCAAGGGGCAACCAATCGATGTTTCTCTTGCACATGGATGTTTCTGTTCTTTTCTTCTCCCTCCCTTTCCCCTCTCTAAAAAATAAAATCTTTGGAGAAAAAAACTATCACTCCCTTCTCCTCTCCAGCTGGAAGAAGCCAAACCATGCTTCTTAGAAAGTCAGTTTCCTTCCCTCAAAAGAAACAAGAATTCACCCCTGATTACATCTGGATAAGTCGGTTTCAAAATTTTTGAAGGCAATGACTTTGCTGAATAGACCAGCACGGGTTTTGTAATGAAGAGTGATGGTTAATTAGAGGTCAGTCAGAGGATGAATGGCCTCAAAACTCACTTACCAAATTCCAGTTTGTCTTGATTATTGGCCACTGCGTGTATAAGTCCGATGGTACCACAGGAGTTCCCAATGGTCTGCTTCATGAAGTACACTTTAGGACTGACTTCTTGTCCCTTCAGCTCTTCAATCTGTTTTTTCCTAAAGTTCTCATGCTGTGAGTGTAAAAAACATGTGAAAATGCAAAGAACAGATGGCAGCACAGTAACTTCTACCACCTAAATGGAAACACAAGTAGGATGTGTGACCAGGAGCCCTGGTTCTAGGTGTTGGCCAATGCCCAGGGAATTGGCCTGTCTGCCTCCCACACCCACGCCAGCCCGTGAGGTTCTGAGACTCCACCCGGATGCTGCAGTGCAGTAACGGCCTTGGATATTGCCCAAGGCTTTGTCTAGACATCGCTGCAGCCTTTTAGCTGGAAATGGATGGTGTCATGGAGTCAAAAAAAAAAAAAAAAGGACAAGTTAATTACATAACCTAAGGATCTTAAATAGAAATTGTAATGAGCCAAAGAGTTTCCTTCCTATAACACCAACAGTGGCTGCATTTCACATGGGTATCCCAATCAGGCTTTGGTTAATTTAACAGCCAACAAGAATACCAGCCAGTTTATAGCTCACTAATCTTTAACATTCTACTTCTATACTGTCCAAGCATACTTCTCTTCAGTAACAAAGCAAGCCTTTACTGCTGAAAGGCACAATTTAAAGAGTGTAATGATGCCCTCCTTTTTTATGAAGGAAAGACAACTAGTCTAGGGCACTGGCTTGGCTGTGATTTCACAAGAACTCCTCCTCATCCTGTAAGGGGAAGGTGTTGACACTTGTTTGTCCTTGCCAGCTACACAGTTTAAGGATAGATTAGCAATGGGAGGTGGGGAGGAGGGTACAGACCAGTAAATAAATGAGACTAGAGGTCATTTTCTTCAAAGCATCCGTTAGCTCTCTGCAGAGTCATTTAGTGGGCTTGTCCAAACTTTCCACTAACAAGTTTTAAAGACCTTGCAGGTATGACTTCTCAGTTAAAAGCAGGGTGCTAATGCTACAGAAACACTATTACCCATAAGCAGTGTGAGTCAGAACATGAGAAGCATATTTCCAAGCCTAGTAGCCTTCCATTACTGTACATGAAATTGAAGTTTAGGCCTTGTCTGTGGCACCCTCTGAGGAATTATGACCTCTGTCCCACAAGTTCAACTTAAAACTCCACCTAGTAGGAAGTTCTAGCATCAAGTATCTTTCTACCAGATCCTTAAAGTGAGTTGCTCATGGACTATTAAGGCTTTTTACTTTTCTAGGTTGAAATTTTTTAAATGCAATAGCACCATCCTTTAGGATTGTTTGAGCTCTTGCATGGAGACATTTATATATATATATTTCATTATCACTTCAAGTTAATGTTTTAAAAGTGTTCCATTTAGGATTTCATAATAATCTCTTAAGACACAATTAAATGCTTTCTAAATTAACATTAGTTTGTTTGGAAGTCAACGTACAAACCTCAACTTTTCTCCAAATTTGCTTCAGCATTTAGCCCAGTGGGTGTTGTGTGTCACAGAAGAGGCGCTCTAAGAAATCAGACAGACTGAACTGGAGCGAAAGCACTAAGTATCGAGCTCTTTCAAACATAAAATGTTCAAAGCAGAACGTTCTCTAACAAAAACCACTTGATCCCGCAAAAGGAGATCAGTGGGCTTTTGAAAGGCAAGCTCGCTGCACCACTGCCTCCCAGAGGCCTTGCATCTGTGCGCTTCTCAAAACCTCCGAGTCATCATGGTTCCTCTAATAAGGAAGCTCTTTGAGGGTCTCAAGTAGGAGAGAGGAGATTGCATTTCACTTGGGTCAACAGGGAAGTTAATTTGACTTGCAATTTTTGGCAGCTTGGTTTTTACCTAAGTAAAAGCTTTGGTAATAAAAAATGAAATTTAAAAAAAAAGTCACTGGGATTATCCTAATAACTTTAATACGGGTTGTTACCTTATTTATAGGAGGAAACCCTGAAACTTCCTATAGGGCCTAATTTACACTGAGGATGCTTCTAGAACACCCAGCCTTAGGATGGTGCTTCTGTTAAGCTCACTCTGTTTGAAATGATGCCCCAAATGCTAATACCACAAGTTTTGCTAAAGGAAACTTTCAACCACTCCCTAATCAGGGGTCCAGTGACAGCAACAGGAGCTAGACAATACCACACTATCCGTGGGAACTGCACACATCTCAAGACTATTATCCCAGCTACCTTTTTTATATCTGATGCTCAGTCTTTAATGTACATGTATCAACGCACGCTTGTCGGAGGAAGACCATCTAAATGGAAATGAAAAGCTGTATCCAAGATTGCTCTAATGCCCACCTATTTCATTTACCTACAAGGTCAGAGAGGAAAGAGGATAAGAGGGGTGGAAGGAGGTTCCCACACAGAAAACATACAGAAATAATTAAGCTTTTTTTTTTTTTTTTTTTAAAGAAAAGCACATAAGTGAGACTAAAATCCAAGTGTTCATGTTGTACGGAGTGGAGGAATGGGAAGAATTCCCTGAGTCCACTGGAGACCCAGGCAGTGCAGGTACAGAATTAAAGAACCTATTGTTTTCTTGAGGTTTAGGCAAGCCCATCCCCCTCTTGTTAATAGCAAGGTGGGAGTCTGAGCACCGAAAACACTGGCAGGTAACTGCCCTGAAAGGGAAACAACAAGCCGTGCCTTGGCATAGAAGGTTCAGGAAAGCCTAGGTTCAAAGGAACTTGTGAGTAGGATGAATTATTTCCCTGGATAATTGGGATGACGGAAATGAGATCCTGCTTCTCTTCCAAATTTGCGACAATGCTGGATGGATGAGCAAGAAGGTAACAAGCTCTATTACAACAGTGGTTCCAAATGTACCAAGAGAACGTGGGCTCCTCCTTCCATCCTCCACAGGGAGGGGGCAGTGTTGCGAGGTCTGAGCGTCTAAGCCAGGTGGGAAGAAGAGCCGGGAGTCTATACCGTACACAATGCCTCATTTTGGTTTGGGAGCGGAGCGCACACCGGGCCCCACGCCCTACCTGGGCGGTGAGTGGAAACAGCAGCAGCAGCGCGCAGGCCGGCGCAGGCACCGAGCTCAGAGCCTCTTCCTCCAGCCCCAGCACATCCACGAAGCGCCACTGACCGGCGACCCCCAGCCGGGCCAACACCTGCAAAGAGAAGACAAGACGGCCAGACTCGGGGACACAGGCAAGTGGTACGTGCCGGAGCTCTGGGCAGACTCAACACCCTCAGCGACTCCACGGAGCCCGGGAGGAGTCTCCGCCCCGCGCCCCACCCCTCCAGCGCGATGACACAGCACAAAGCGCGGTCCACACGTGGCTCCCGCGAAGCCCGGACACCGGAGTCGCGCGGCCCGCGCCACGCCCTCGGGAGCTCGGCCAGGCGCTCGACTTCTGGCGTAGCCTCCTCCTCCACCGGAATCCCACCCTCGCCCCCGGTGCAGGGGCAGAGGGAGAGCGTCCCGACCCAGCCCCAGCCCGGCTCCCCTGAAGCACGCAGGACGCCGTTAGGTCCCTGCGAAACCGCCGGAGCAGGTGGGCGCCTCCGCCTCGGCGCTCCCGGGGGGATGGGGATTGAGACAACACGAAACGCCACTCACTTTGTTCAGCATCTGAAAGACAAATGCAAAGAAAAATACAAAAATAAAATACCTGGCGTGGGCTGACCCTTTGTCAACTGCTCCCCGGCCACCGTGCACCTGACGCTCACCTCGGGGTTAATCTCCATGGGTTTGAGCTGCATCTTCGCGAACTACACCTGAAGTCAATAACCAGAGAAGAGGAAAAACAGCGAATGGAGCCGCCCAGGCTGTCGCTATAAAGCGCCGGCCTGACGCACTGTGGGTGCCTGCGCAGGGGGATCGGGGCAAAACCAACAAGGGGGAAACGGTCAGTCTGAACAAAATGGGCACGAACTCCCCCTATGCGCATCGCGAAGTGGTACAGCCGGGCCCCCAAACCTTGCAGTCTCACTTGCTGGTGAGATAATCTGCTGGTTGTTGGGAGATGGGTTTGTTGGTGGGTGTCCTTTCGAGTGTATTAAGCAGTCCTTTTGATGGAGTCTAATTTTTTGCGAAGTTTCTGGATACTCTTTCTTTCTGCCATCCCAGTTACCCGAAATCTCAGGGTTTCTGAAGCGTTGAGAAAAAGCCTAAATTCAACAGGTACATATTTAATATAAATATGTCCCCCAAATCTCGCAGCAGTTTGCAATTCATCCTCCATGTTAAAGCAGACCAGTACCGAGGTTCATTTTTTTAAATGACTGACTAGAATAAAATATAGTCAAATATAACAGATATTGCATTAGTAATGCTGATGTAATGTGACTCCCTGGGAAGAATTGGTTGGTCATGTGGAAGCTGTAGGAGCCTGGGGGATGTGAACGTAATACAGCACACAGAGAGGCAGGAGGTAGGAGACTTCAGGAAACAGATGCAGGGAAAAAGCAGGTATTTCGAGATGCAAGGATGTAAAAAAAAAATTTGTAAAAGAATGGAGATTTTGAAAAACACCATTCTGAGTTCAAAATAAAATACAGTGGACAGCAAAGGGAACGGCAACTAAAGAAACCACTGTCTCTAACGATCCCAGGTGGGGTTTGTTTTTCCTACCAGCATACTGAAAAGATGGAGAGAAAAGCATATGCCGACGGATGAATAAAAAGAGGGACAAAAATCTGTGAGAATCGTGCCAGGAAAGCAAATCCTCAGAGTGAAGTGGGGTTTGCAGAAATACTAAAGAAGGAAGAAGGTTGGGTTTTTGTGGTGTTTTGTTTTTTTTTTAATGTTTATAACAAAACAGTGATGATGGTGAGAGCAGACCTCCTGTTTAGGGGGTGTGAGGTTAATTAATAGACGATGGAGGGAAGGAGAGAGTCTACATTATTGGTGTTATTACCTCTACAGTGGGTCAGATCTTTTACACGTCATCTCATTTAATCCTTAGAGTATGCAATGAAGAAACTCTTAATAGTGCAGTTTTACAGATCAGAATCCAAGGCTTAAAGAGGTTATTTGCTTACGATCACAACAGAAAAGTGAAACAGAAGTAAAGCCTAGGAAACTAGGCCCTCGGAGTGCATCCTCTACCCCAGGTTTCACCACACTCCACTTCTACCTTCATCCTCTTTTATCCATCAGAAAAATGACCTTCATGCAGAAAAGAGGAAGAAACAAGAATGCAAAGAATTTAATGAATGGATTTTATGATATATAAATTATGCCTCAATAAAGTTTTTTTATTTATTTTTCCAAATGCATTTGTCTCTGCCTTCTCCCTACCACTTTCCCCTGCCCCCTCCCCCCTTAAAGTTGATTTTTTTTTTTTAAAGAAAAAAGGCTATGACTTGAAAGTTAAGACAGATGAATAGGTAGTACAAGAACACCTGGCTATGTTGAATCAGTTCCTGCCTTCAAACAGACAAATTACATCCCAATTTACTTCATTTATTCAACAAAATACCGATTAAGCACATCCTACATGATGGACACCGAGCGTGGAATTGGGGGTACAAAGGTGTACCCAGTAAATAAACATAGAAACCTCCCTCTTGAAGATTTTATCAGTATAAAGAGTGGTGTCAAAGAGAGTAGAGCTCAGGAACACCTAAGGTAGTGCAGGGGATCAGGAAGGCTTCCAAAAGTGAGTGACATTTAAGGCTGATGGACAGGTAGATGGTGGTTACGAAAATAAATAGCAAAAGTGGTCGTGAAAACACCATGAGAAATCTTTTAAAAGGCATTCATTCATTCACGCAACAAATACCTAAATTGAGTGCCTACCATGTACCAGGAAGCATCAGAACAATGAATAAAACAAACAGCTTCCTGTTTACAAGGCAATGGTAGAAACAGAAGATGAACAAAACTTATACTGCTCTTTAAAAAGGTGGGGGGCGGGGGGACATATTGCTGAAAATACAGGCCAGGAGATTTGATATCAGTCATTAGCCAAATTCCAGGACTCATAATTTGTGAACTCAAAAAAATCGAATGGTTGCATTTAGAACAAGTTATGTCAGCCAGCCTTTACCTCCTTTTCTTTAAGGGTCAGTAGCTAGATAGACAGGCAGAACGCTTCTCATTATATTCTTCTTGATGCCTGGGTTGGTGTCAGCTGATAGTACGGTTAACTGGTTTTTTCGCTTTAAATTATTTAATTATTCAGTCTTTAAAAAAGTGCTGCTGAACAGAGTAATCTCAACCGGCAGCCACTTAGCCATGGTTTTCACCATCTGATGCAGTTTTATTAGAGCAGAGACAGAATATGCGCATGCACGCGGGAACAAGCAATCTGAATTATGACTTAGAAAAATTAGTTTAAAATAAAATTATAAAGTAAAATAGAGATTTTGGTGATGGTTGTACTCTCCTATGAATCTACCAAAAAAAAAAAAAAATTAAATGGGAGAATGTATCTCAATAAAGTAGATAAAAAGTCAAGAGGTATGCGTGAAGCTCTACCATATGTCAACAGTGTACTATCATATCATAGTACAGTTACTCTTCATATTCACTTTTACTTCATTCTGTGGTTATAAAAGTAATATTTATATTATTTATATATTATAATGATGTAATAAAATGAATTATATAATATGAATATGAAAAATATCAAATGAAAAACAAGTCACAACATTATGATTATACCCATTTAAAAATGAATGCGTGGGCACGTGGGCTGCTTCCATATCTTGGCAACTGTAAATAATGCTACAATAGTGGTGCTTGTGTTCTTTCGAATTAGGTTTTCTGGTTTCTTCTGATAAATTTCCGAAAGTGGAATAAGGCACTTCCATTTTTAGCTTTTTGAGAGTTAGGATAGTCATAGGGTAGCATCAGTAAAACAACTATGGGACATTTACACAACAGAATATTACTCGACTATCAAAAAAAAAAAATTTTACCCCTTGCAACAACATGGATGGACCTGGAGATCATTGTTCTAAGTGAAATAAGCCAGTCAGAGAAAGACAAATACCATATGATCTCACTCATATGTGGAATTTAATGAACAAACTGAACTAACAAGCACTATAAAGAGAGACTCATAGATAGAGAGCAGATGACAGTTCTGGGGCAGGGGTAGGGATGGAGGGATTGAGCAAAAAGGAAAAAGGACTCATGGACATGGACAACAGTGTGGGGATTGTGGTGGGGAAGAGAGTATAAGGGGGGTAGACACTAATGGAAAAAAATACAGTGAATTATTTTGTAAATGACTACATAAAGAACAGTAGGAAAAACATTTTAAAAAATCAACTAAACATTTAAGGTAAACATGGAGCAGACCTGTTAGAGGTGGTGAAACAAGACCAATGAATACATTGTCCTTCATAAATAAGTATACCATTTCTGATTCACCAGCAGTAGAATTTTTATCATAAGTATTATTTTTCTAGTAAAAGTGAAGATTTAGGATGGGCATTTTAGAAACTACCTTCTTATAATTCTGATGGCTAATAAAACAGAGACTCAAATATCCTTGGCAGGTCAGTCCCACAGTGTTAGGGCATTCAACCCTAAAAGCTCATCCCCAAGGTTAATTCTTTGGCCCTTCCAGTGGTTTTGTAAGCACCTAATTCCCTGTATTAAATCCCATTCTACTTGAAACACCTAGAGCAGTTTTGCACTCCTCTATTAGTACTGCATACATACCAATAGTGATACTGCATGCACACCAGTAGTGATTCATGAGATCCTGCCATAGCATCCCTCAGTTACTATTCTTGTGCAGTTATAATAACATTGGAAATCAGAGGGCTCTGGTGAACCTAGATCAGCCCCCAATGGTGTGAACATAGGCAGATTTGTAAACCCTACTCTACCTCAGCTTCTGCAACAAGAAAGAAAGATTTCATGAACTCTGTGATTTCTCCCAGTTCCAGCATAGCAAGGATCTTGAGCAGTAGAAAATAAAAGATATATAGACCAAACCATATAAAAGTTTAATTCTACTTTTATCTCTAATTGCTTAATTCTAGCCATTAGGTTTTTTTAATGTCACTAGGATATGATAAACAAAATTTATCAGTTAAAATTTGTTTCTGAAGGTGCTTTAGAGATATTTGTTACATATATTCTTTTACCAGGACATTGGTATATGAGGAATATGTTCAGCAGAAAAAAATTTTAAGTCTATAAATATACCAGGAAGAAATGTCTTCTTGAGAACACTGCAGAGTTTTAAGACCTAACCAAGCATTTTTTTTTTCCAGAACCTTTAGCGTAAATAAATCAATATATAGATGTCTAGTGTCCTGGCCTTACCCGGACATTTAGCTTCAGTAGCCTAAGAACATGAAACAATTGCTTTAAAAATAAAATCTGAACAAGTTAAATTGGGGAAATTTCCCATAAATTCACTAGCCTAAGAAATTTACCCTTCCATTTCTTCACATATGCCTTCCATTTGTGCAGCAAATTCAGTTGGGTTCCCAACCAAAATGTGTTCTTTTCTTCCTTGCTCACCTGGTGGCCCACTGTTGGAGCCCCAACTCAATACCACTTTGTTAGGTCCCAGCTCAAATCTCCTTTCCTTTGGGAGTGAAGGGGGTGAGGAAGAGGAAGAGGGGTTGTCCTTGGAGATCCCCTTTGCCTCTCATGAGACCAGCACCATTGCAAATAATGTGCCCTGTACCGTGAAATAGTGCACCTTCAGCAGAAGAGCCCTGAGAGCACTTAGGTCAGCCATGTTGTCGGAAACAGCTGTTCCACTTGTTTCTTTTTATCAGCCACCAAACTCTCCTCAAGAGCCCCTACTTCTTGAAAACTTGCCTTGTGAGAACTGACCGGCACTGAGCCTCATGCCTGACTCAGGAAGGGGACTCGGATCGCTTAATGAGAGCGGGAAGCACTCTGCGTCTCAATAAGGAAAAATAAAAAGAAATCCACATTGTCTCAAAAAGCACAAATTAAAAAAACATTGTA